GAGTGTTCAGCCACATTTTCTTGACCCAAGGTTGGTTGTGCTTAGACACATTGTAAGGTCGGAGGCCACAGCGACTCCTCCCGCTTGTCAGGTCAGCTGCAGTTCATGGAGTAAAACTACTTGGTCCTTAAGTGCTTATGATCATGAAGTGAGCAAGTAAAGGTCATTTATAACTTTTACTCTGCTACCTCATGCATTCATTTAAACGCTCAAAGGTGATATGCTGCGCACCCTTAATTTACATTAGCCCGTACTTGTGGGTTTGGTTCTGTCATGGTTACCTTCTTGAGTCCTATGGGGAGCAAAGCAACAAACAAACAACTTGCTGGAGCTAACGGTTGGATTTTTTATTATTATTATTATTATTGTTATTATTATGGACAGCTCTTTGACACTGGAGTGTATTTCGTTCGATGGTGTGCATGACCTTTCAGCATTGAGATAGCAGCTACATCCTTGACTAAAACTACTATTATAGCTTCTGTTAATGTTGGATAAGACTAAAAGAAGTGGAGGCTCCTCTGCTTTCATTCTGCTCATACTTCTCTCCCTTGCGCTCCCTCTCACTTCCTGCTCTTTTAGTAGGGGGGGCTACTAAAGTGCAAGCGTCATCAGAACGGGCCCCCATGCAGCTGACTTCCATTCAGAGCTTTAATGGCTTAACGCTGTGTGCAGCTGAGCTCTCGTCAAAGCCAGAAAGCCTCCTCCACATAACCACCACTTTTTCCAAGACGCCCATTTCCGCTGCTTGAGTTGACTGCGTTTTCACTGACACTTTTTCTCCCCAACCCCAACCCCACCCCCCACCCATCAAACTCTCCAGCTGTCTCATATCGTTGTACTGTGGGAGGGATATTGAGAAGTCGGCCTAACTGGACCTCATGGTCTGGACCTGTTATTAAGATGAAAAAAAGGTCTAAAAGGAAGGTTTACTCGGCAACAACCAAGTAACAACAAACCAAAAGATGTGTGTGCTTTTGTCGAGTCCTACACATGCCAGACCAGCAGTGGTCAATTTGTTTTTTCAAAAAATGCTCCACACATACACCAGCTGCTTCTCCTCCTATATTATACAAAGCTGGCTTTTGAAAACCTTTCATCAGCTGAAATTTGGTGTATGTAGTATTTATTATTAGTATCTTCGCTGTACTCCATAGCACGATGGTAAATGTTCAATTTCCCGATGAATCGTTTATAAACTCATTCTATCGAGCAGCACAAGCGCACCAACTGTGCTGTGTTCCACATTTGTCATTAACTGTTTTGAATAAAAATTATAATGAAGCTTACGACCAAAAAGAAAAATAAATTTAAAAATCCATTCTCAATAGTTTTTGAAAAGTTTCACTTACAGTCGGCTGTGGACAAACATTGCCGGTTGTAAACGTCATAGCATGCCAGGCCCACAATTGGTTATGTGACTTTGTAAAGAAACTGCCACTTCCATGTAGGCATGCGTTGATTCACGGTTTGACGGTTTACCATGGTTCTAAAAATTCAAGGTTTCAGGAACTGCAAATACTGTACTGTCTGTCACCGGTAATTATCTCTTCTTTTCTTTCTTGAGGGAACTTCCAAGCAGGGCACAATATGATTGGCTGCGTCCAAAGCTGAGTAAATGAAGTTATTGAGAGGCCAGTCGCTTTTTTTTTCTCCTTCTCAGTGAGCAGAACATATTCTCGCCAATGGACATTTTTTCCGCTTATTAGATTATTGACTCGTTTTCTTTGATTCGCTTCTTTGTTGGTCATCATTCGTCAAATACCGGTACATGAAAATAATCCGCCCAGTCTGTGTCGCAAGATGATGATGATGATGACGATGCAATGGTCAATGCTTGATCTTGAGCGACGTTTACATTTCACACTCCAGAAGCGCTGTTCGGCCACATCTGTGCCGCAAGGAAGCTTGTGCACAGTTGATCTTTCCGTTTTTGTTCGCCATGCTTACAAATGGCCAAAATGTCATTTCATTCTCTGTTAAATGCGATGTTTTGCTCCTCTTGCTGACTCAAACACAATTGCACATTCTTAATTGAAACGCTTCATTTCAAATAAGTTGAAACACCCGCACTTTTCCCAAAACACGACTAGTTTTGCCATTCGTCCTTTGACTTCATCCCACAGGTCGTGTAGGTGGTGGTGGTTGGGTCTAAACTGCGTGCAAGTGAAGTGTGACATTTTCCTCCCTGTGTCCGGGGTTTGCAAAGGCGGTCGCACTGGACTGGCGAGATAACAGCATGGCCATGACCACATTACTAATAAAAGCCCATATGAGTGTGCCCTTTTATAGCACCAATAGTTAGTTCATCACTTCTATTCCCGATCAATGTCACCACAAGTCCAGGTTTGACAGAGTGTGTTGATTTTTGCAAATGTAACAATCATTCGTATTCATGTCCTCGGCGTTTGTTGCTGAATGGTTGATGAATAGTTTGGCAGAGCAATGGATGGATGTGCCATGTACACACTGAGTCGATTTTGTATTGGATCCCATTTATTTGCGCAGGCGTGCATATTGAAGTGGCCAATGACTGTATGTCTATGCGGTTTGTGCATGTGTCGCGGTTGGGCATAGTGCCGACCCAGCTCACCCTTCTGATGCTAAGCAGCTTTAGCTTGATTGCCATCTGTTCCTCCACTCTGTATTTTTGCACAAAGAAAACCCCTCCCGTTTTTCTCAACCACTAAATCACAAATAAAGACTGGACCGCTGCTTGTATCCAAAACCTTAGAGAGTCACTAATGTGAATATATGGACATAATTATACCTGAGCTAAAAATTGAAGGTAAAGATGGTGCTGTTCCCCCTTTGCAGCTATAACAGTTTTTCTTTCTCCAAGATTATGCAGCATGTGGGATTTTTTTGCACATGTCACCAATGGTGGACCCAAGAGAGGGGGCTTCTCGCCTTCCAGTTAATCACAGAAATTTTTGTTGGGCTTTAGGTTTCAACCTCTGTTGAAAATTAATGGACCTGAAAATTTCCCTGGGGAACTCCACTCAAAATGTGTGTTGAGAAACCACTGGTGTTGGAACTGAGAGAGGACTTGTTGGGTCTGCTCTGTTCTAAATGATCCTGGAAATGTTAGAGTTCACCTCAAAAATATTTGATGGGCTATTTCATCAACTTAAAAATAAATGAATGGGCCTTAGATATTTCCCTGGGGAACTCCGCTCCGAATTGTTGCTTTGTAATGATGTTTGTGTGCTGTTCTGGAAAATGATGTGAGTGACATGATACACTATACGTGTGCTGAGACAGGAATAGTATCTTCGTCCACCAACACCAGATTGGATTCACCTACAGTGTGCGCTAGTTTGCTTTTTTATTGTCGTTCATTTTGTGATTCTAACCTCAACAAACAGGAGGGATGACACATCGCAAACATAGGGAATGCACTATGCATGGTCTTATGACTAACAAGGCAGCTGCTGTTGCATTTTGTCTTTCCACAAGCAGCATGTAAAATGAATTCCCATTAAAGGCACATAGACATTAACGATCAGGCAGTTAAAGGGCCAGCACATTTCTGTCCCACTTCCCCTATTGAATGAGTCTAACACTGAATCTCCATACACAGTTGTATGTCCCAGTTAGCTCCCCGAGGCTGATATGACCACACAGAAAGATTCTAGAACATAAAGCCCATTCTTATCCTTCTACAAATAGCTTCATGGCAGCGTCACGTCAGGCGGAAATGTGTATACTCACAATGCAGCTTGTGTACTTGCTGATAAGCACAATGCCTCCCAATGCATGCCGGGGCACACTCTGGTAATTAAGAGCTGGAAGAGATGAATGGCATGATGTGTGTGTTTCTAATATCATTTGTCGTCTGATCGTTTGTCCTCCAGGCGATTGCGTCGCTTATTTGTAATTTATGCGGTGACTTACATTGAATTCCATCGAACCATCAGGCCATTTTAAGCCCTTTTGCCCGTTGTTGTGAGTGATTTTTTACTCCATCATGCTGGAACCCTGAGCCCTCTTGTCTTGTAAATCCCCTCCATCTTTAGTCCTTGAGTGTTTATCCCCATCGACTGAATGGGATACTGTATTACTCCATTGGAAAGTCCATTGACTGTTGCGGCCTCACTAGAGGAGAAGTCAGCCTCTTGGTATGTCAACGAGCCACAAACAAGCAGAGTGGCGCCTCAGCCTTCTGAAATGTCAGTGACCTCACGTTACTGAGCCGTGAAACACCAGCGTCGAACGGGACAAATATCTTCACGCCTGCTCCACCGCACAATCACTGACGTCCTATTTAGCGAAATAACATGGTAGTCTTGTGTTTTTTGGTTGTGGGGAGTCAACTGGTCACCACGGCAGGTTGTAGTCTACAGAGATCCTCCAAAATAACCACATTTACGCACCTTTTGTTTTCAAACAGAAACAAGGAGTGAGAGCAATCTGTCATATTACCAGACCAGGATTCTAATATTAGGCCAGATTATCGTCATGTGTGTACGGCACATATTTAATGATTAATTGAATTCAGAGATGCAACAGGATGCTCCCTGTATCTCAAAGTATTCCTTAATACCGGGATAGGTGTGTGATACACAATACTAACTTTTCCAATAGTGACTATTTTATCAACTACGCCAGATGCTGGCACTGAAAGAATCCAATTTTCTGATCGTGAGTGAAAGTGCACAGAGTTCTGGCACAACCCACTTCACTGAGTTCTAGCAGCTGCTTTCGGAAATAATAGTCCATTACATCGTGCCTGTAAAAGCTGTAGTTTTTCTTTCTTCTTTTTTCTTTCTGTGTTGCTGTTCTATAAGAACGGCACTGACATGGAGTGGGACTGCCAATGGTGACCCATAAATATTTCCCTTTTTTAAAGGTACCTGATACTCTCTTCTCCTACCCACTTGTTTGGTTTCTGTGTAAAAGATGCTGAGGCGTTTGCATGTATTCTTCACAATGTAGTAAATCGTTTTCTGCCATTATTGCATGTTTGTAATCAAGCATTTTCTCAATGTCTTCTTCAGGGGTCCCTTCAGTGTGGTTAGGAGATGCATCAACAGAGAGACGGGGCAGCAGTTTGCTGTCAAAATTGTGGATGTGGCTCAGTTCACCTCCAGTCCTGGACTCAGCACAGAGGGTAAATTTTTTGTTTTTGTTCCTTTGATAAAACTAAAAAGATTGTCAATTTGAATTGCCCTTCACAGAGAAATTATTATTTATTGTTCTGCGGTCTGCAGGAGATGGATCATTAAATGAACACAAACATAAAAAATGTGGCAGGCTAAGATCATTGGAAATGATCTTTTGTGAAATCATAATTACAGACTGCTGCCAGCATAAAACATTTAATAACTGTATACAAATACAAAAAAAGCCAAACAAAGAAACACACTTGTGGAGTCAGTCCTTGAGATGCTCACTTTGCAGAAGACTCACAAGATTTAAGAAGCCACATATTCCAGTGCTGTATTGGAAATTATTGTTTATCTTCTGTAGCAATCTGCCAGAGCTGTGATTAGATTTGTGATGACTCTAGAGGAGGAGCGATGGATGGCATTAAAGATAGTTGAAAGGTGTGGTGAAGCCTGATAAGAATACTTGAGCTAAACAAAGTGAGGAAGGGTGCACAGCAATCTTGGAAATATATTATTTAATATCTCTCCGTAAAATGTTTACTTATAACATTAGGTAGTGGACTAGATTATGGTTATCCGCAACTGAGCATTTCTGGTTATTGTTGGAAATGTTTGCCATAATGATTGTATTTAATGTCAATAGAATGTAGATGTTTTCTTTGCTGAATGTCAAAGTGCAGTAGACTGTATAGTGGTGGTGCGCAGTGTTCCCTTCTGATATTTAGTGCGTCTGAGCATTCACACAAGCTCCCTGAACATTCCTTGGACCACGGTCCAAAACCTGAGATCAACTTACATGAATGAGTCATGTTACCAAAAAAAAAAAACAAAAAAATAATAAATCAAGCCACCTACTTATGAAAATACAGCATATCATTTAATAAAACATGAACATTGACCTGACCTCTGAAACACGTGAAAGAGCCGCATTCACGGGGCTCATAAACTATGACCATGTTTGGACTTCCTGAATGAAGCTGTCATCGTATCGCCTGCGGCATCTCATCAGTAGTGCGTGTGCTTGTATGTGTGTCAATGTATGCTTCAAGTAAGAGTAGAACGCCTGAGTGTCCACCCTTGATAACACTATTGAAACCGTAAGGGAAGTGGGAATGGTGTGGTGTCCTGTTGGTAAATTAAACAGGGGTGGAAATAAAAGAATGAATGGAGAAATGTCGTGTGCGTGCGTGTGCATGAGCGTGTGTGTGTATTTGCATGTGCGTGTGTGTGTGTGCGTGTGTGCGTGTGTGCGTGTGTGCGTGTGTGCGTGTGTGTGTGTGTGTGTGTGTGTGTGTGTGTGTGTGGTGCCCACCAAAGTCAGTGCGTGTGCTGAGAGGGCGAGAGCAGTACACAATTGCTCATGCATGCAGCTTAGAGGAAATATTGGTGGTGTCATTCTATGTGATTGTGAGCAATTAGTTTTCACATTGAGCTGTTTAAACCCGGTCTCATTAGCAAATATAAATAGTGTGACGTAGACCCAGGCCATTTGCTTTTGGCATTTGGATTGACACATGTTAGCAACCGTAGCGTTGATAATATTAAATTTATGAGAAGATGGAATGTGGTCACTGATCGAAGCTGACGCCATTTAAAACGTGCCAACCTCTAACATTGAACACAATTCCCTCATGATTTGGGCCTGATGTGTTGGAATTTTAAAGAACCCCGCCGATAAAAGCAAACAGGTCTCGAAATACAGCCATTGACCAAGGGCTGGCCGATATGACTATGTGATATCACAATTTAAGTATTCATTAGTGGTCAATACATATAATATATGTCGCTATGCCCTGCCAAAAAAAAAAAAAAACCTAAACGTAACATTGTGTAATGTAAGATTATGCTAATACTGCTCCATTTGACAAGATATTTATGTCTTTGGATTATTTGGTTGCTCTGTGGCCAATTTTGTAAAATGAAGAAAAACGATCCCTGACTTGACCAGGTGAAAACCACGTGATCGGACCAGATCGATCACGTGATCAGATCGGGAGATCCCTTGTAGTCATGATTTATTTTCTGTCATTGTCATATAATAATGGGAGTACTGTATTAAGAAGCGAATACATAAATCAAGTCTCCACGGAAGGCCCAAGTTGGGTATCAAATGCATGGTATGACCGTGATGTTAAAAGTATGCTGTCTCGCATGATGGTCTTGTGCGACATCTTTTATCTTTTAGCATCTGTGTATGCCGAAAAGCAAAGTGTACAGATTTGATCCTTTAGGTTTCGTTTGGAAAAGGTGTCACCGAAAAGACAAAACGTCAAACATACCATGACACGATTGTCGTCACTGACAACATTTCGTGATCATGCGGGCATGTGGCATACTCCTCCAGCATTGCACGCACACTCTCTGTTCAGACCTTCGAGTGAGGGAAGTGGGTCAAATTGTGCGTGCCTTGGCAATGGATTGACCAACACACACATGCTCACACACATACACACCAGTCAGTGTCTCTCAAGCGTGTCCAGAGGTCTGTCTGACGAATAGGTCAGCTCTCCAAGGGGATGAGAGAGCAAAGCTAGCCAACGAATGAGCAAAATCCATCATGTGCCGCTGCACACTCGCTTCCTCTGCTTTCCCGGCTCCCAATTCCCCAATCCTTTTGCACATTTTCACCCCCCCGCTCTCCCCTTCCCCCAGGTCTTTTCTTTTATTTTCCCTCACAACGTGTCCTCTTCACCTCCCTCGTCTGTCACCTTCTTCTCCAGAGTCACGGAAGACGCAGCGCTGCGTGTTAGTGTTTCTGCTCCTATTGTGACATCTTGTCCGCGCCTTCTGCACAAGCTGTGAAGACGCACACAATCATATGCATGCTTGTATAGTTTGTTAGGATGCTGCAAAGGGCAGAAAACAGGATAACATATTTCGGTGTTTACATTTTTAATCACCTACGCAAGGCTAAGACCTTTTATGTTGCAACAGTTTGAATCTAACTCACCAGACACTCTTTTTTTCTTAAATACAGACAGTGGTGGCATTGATTATGACATAGATATTTATTTGTAAAACCCTTTTTTTCATGCCAAGGAACAAAACTAGGTGAAACAGAACTAACATGCACAAACTTTCTCTTGTCTTTGTTTTTATGAGGCAGCAATTGTTTTTTGTTTTGTTTTGTTTTTTTTTTTTCTCAAGTGGATGACACACTCGATGACTAATTGGGGCATGGCGTCAAATCTAGGGACCATCTAAAGAGAATTACTTCAATAATAGAAAGTTGACATGGCAACATTATTCCGATGAATATCTTTTTTTTAATTATTATGTCACAAAAATCTGTTTTGCTTGCTGAACTGACCCCCCGTATTTTGGAATAATTTTGATCAAAGAAAGAAAAAATCAATAGATTTAGTATTTTCTTCCAATTATTCAATTTAATAAAAATGTCCATCCTTGAAGCAAATAGAATCTTTCGACCCTTATCCAGATCCTTACTAAAATTGTTTTTTTTAAATTATTATATATTATTATATTTTTTCTAACTATTGTAGCTGTGTCTGTGGCTTTTTTTGGGGGCGAGGGGGGCTGGGGGTGTAAATGTCTCACAATAAATTTCGTTCCCTGCCACAAAATGTAGGAACATGATGGCCACTTTAGCCTCTGCTCTGTCCTACTTCATGCGTTGTAAAACTGGCTACAGTGAAAAGGTTTATTAAAACAGCATTTCAAGTGATAACCCAGTATTTTTTCACAGTAAGACGTATTTGACAACAACTAATCAATCAACAGCATTTTATCCTCAATCCGACATGGAAATCCATCCTCCCTCTTCATTTACCGCACCAAACCTCGTAACCTCACAACCATTTATTTCCTCTTACATCTTTCCATTTGTACCACACGCCCACTGTTGGAATATTGATTTGTTTCAGAAGCTCAAATTCCTGTTCTCTCCACACATTCGTCTCTCTGTGTGCAACACTCTCACCCCCATCATTATCACGCTTTAGTGTATGAAGACAAACAGGCCGGAAGGTGTAACTTGTTAGCATCATTTATTTCAGGCGGGAGAGTTTGTTTGAGTGTGTGATTGTCTCTAATGTGGCAAACTTGCCACCGCCTCCGTTTCTGCATATTCACTTCACTCTTCCATTAACCTTCCTCACCATTAGGAGCCATTAGGAGTAAAGGCTTCGCTCCAGGGGGAGTCTTCAGAGCACTGAAGTGTCTTTCAACATATCGAAGAACGCTATTGCTAATTTTATGGCACGATGATTGTTAAGCACCTGTGTGGCACCTCAAGGATTAGCATCTGTGTTGTTGGAGGTCTATCATTTTGATGTACAATTGCCTTGGTCGCTGTAGAAATGTGTTAGCGTTGATTTGCCATGCTAACGATGCTAATTGTTTCGTGCTTTTAAAAGCCTGGGCTTTGTGACTGGTTTGGGGAGGGCTCAGAGTGTGATAAGACAGCAAGCACAGTATTGTCACTCATGGAATGAGCAATTCATTTATTACACTGCAGCTCTTCAATTAACATTTGGAAGAGTCCAATTGCAAAGGTTTTCCCAAGGCGGAAGTCCGAATAGTTTCAATTTGCGTAGCCAGCCTAACATAATCAAAATGGAAAATTTGCTCTGTACAACTTAGATTAGTGGTTTTGCAAATGTGATGTTTCCTTGTCCGTTTCACCGGACCCTGAATTTAATCAATTATTTTCATCCTACCAAATGAAAACTGCATGAATGTGAATACACTGAAAATTATTGTGCAAATGACGTTTTTGCCTGATTTTTGTAAATAGTCTATGCAAATGGCCGCAGCATAATTTTCAAGTCATCAAGTTCGAGAATAATCTGAATGATTTTCTAACAAACCTCCAAATTCTAATCGTAGTTTTAAAATTTCATTTTCACATCCAAACAGCAGCTTGGGGAGACAATTCTGCAAATTCAAGCAGAGAATCTGCAAAAAGTGAAGTTCAATGGATGCAAGACTTGCAAGGCTTCAATCTTTCCCCAGTGGTGGACAATAAAGGATATCTTAATCGTAATCTTAATCAAATAAGAGGTCCCATGTTATAATGTAAGCTCACCTGTTAAGATGCTTTAGGTTGAACTAACTTTTGATTTCAGCACATATAAACTCCTGATGCTGCAAATTCAACAAATATCTCTTTTAAGTTCTTTACAACCTGTAAAATGTCTTTAAAAACTGCTCCGTACAATCATTTGGAACAGATGCTTTATTGTCGGAAAGAAATACTGTTATCAATGAGAGGTTTGTTTCAAAACATTCAAATTACAGTCAAACCTCGGTTTTCGACCATAATCCGTTCCAAAAGGCTGTTCGAAAACCGAAATTTTCGAAAACCGAAACCATGTTTCCCATTATAATCAATGTAAAAAAAATTTAATCCTTTTCAAGTCTATAAAACAACTTCTTAAAAAGCATTTTTACACCATAAACTGTAAACACATGTAATAAGAGGAAGTTCAATGGATGCAAGACTTGCAAGGCTTCAATCTTTCCCCAGTGGTGGACAATAAAGGATATCTTAATCGTAATCTTAATCAAATAAGAGGTCCCATGTTATAATGTAAGCTCACCTGTTAAGATGCTTTAGGTTGAACTAACTTTTGATTTCAGCACATATAAACTCCTGGTGCTGCAAATTCAACAAATGTCTCTTTTAAGTTCTTTACAACCTGAGAAATGTCTTTAAAAACTGCTCCATACAATCATTTGGAACAGTGCATTTTAACAAAAACGATGCTTTATTGTCGGAAAGAAGTACTATTATCAATGAGAGGTTTGTTTCAAAACATTCAAATTACAGTCAAACCTCGGTTTTCAACCATAATCCGTTCCAGAAGGCTGTTCGAAAACTGATTTGTTCGAAAACCGAAACCTTGTTTCCCATTATAATCAATGTAAAAAAAATTTAATCCTTTTCAAGTCTATAAAACAACTTCTTAAAAAGCATTTTTACACCATAAACTGTAAACACATGTAATAAGAGAGCAGGTAATATGTAAAATACTGTACAAACAAACTACAAACATTTTATATGTTTTATTTTTACCAATTTTAACAAAAACATTGACAATGTAACATAAAAATTGAAGTAACATCTCTCTCTCTCTCTCTCTCTCTCTCTCTCTCTCTCATCGTGACAATTCTGGATTGCATTCTTTTACAAGTTGAATTTATAAACACTAAAGTAATGGTTGTAACTATGGACGCTCTCTCTGCAATCCTACGCTACGATTCATATCGTGACAATTCTAGATTGCATTCTTTTACACCTTGAATTTATAAACCCTAAAGTAATGCTTGTAACTATGGACGCTCTCTCTGCAATCCTACGCTACGAGGTAACATCCCTCCATCCATTTCCTGAACCGCTCTATCCACAGAAGTCCAGTCTCGTCCATATTAAAAGTTTGCTGGGGTTTTTTTATCTTTATTGAACACGTCTGCTAACAATGGAGGCGTCAGTTCTTCGTCTACCCGAGGAAGTGATGCTTCCTCAGGTAGAGTGCGCTCAGTTTGGTCGAGAACCGGAAGCCGAGAGTCGAGTGACGTATTCAGGTTTGCTTAGTTTGGTTGAGAACCGATTTTCGGTCGTAATTCGAGGCATAAAAAAACTAGACATTTTTGGTCGAAAACCGATTTGGTCGAGAACAGAGACGTTCGAAAACCGAGGTTTGATTGGATAATAAAAGCTGATGACTTTAAAATTATGCAGATTCCCATTTGCTGGCTGTTTATAATAATCAGAGAAATAGATAATTTGCAGAATAAATTTTAATGCAGTAGAAATGTAATTCTAAAACCACAGAAATACATACATTTTCAAACACATGTCCAAACCCTTAAAAACGTCACATTAAATACAAAGAACACCTGTAACTTCAACATCCACATCATATTTCACTACCAAATCTTTCTTAAATTCAATAGTTTTGCGCACGAATTTCCTCTTTTTTCACCAGCTTTACTACTTCCACTTGCTTTCTTTGGTGCCAGCGACAGGTCCACATTTTCGAATGCTACAAACCTGAGCTGGCTGCCAGCCAATCGGAGGGCACACACAGACGAACAATCATCCGCTCTCATACTCACACCTCGGGACAATTTAGAGTGTTCCTTATTGAGCACGTCTGCTCACAAAGGACGGTCTTTTTTTTTTTTTTTTTTTACCTTTATTGAACACGTCTGCTAACAATGGAGGCGTCACTTCTTCGTCTACCCGAGGAAGTGATGCTTCCTCGGGTAGAGTGCGCTCAGTTTGGTCGAGAACCGGAAGCCGAGAGTCGAGTGACGTATTCAGGTTTGCTTAGTTTGGTTGAGAACCGATTTTCGGTCGTAATTCGAGGCATAAAAAAACTAGACATTTTTGGTCGAACCTGCCCCACTGATGAGGATAAGATGTAGAGAAGAAATGGATATATGATTAATTACACATTTGTTGATTAATAACTAATCGCTGGTGGTGAAAGCTGATGACTTTAAAATTATGCAGATTCCCATTTGCTGGCTGTTTATAATAATCAGAGAAATAGATAATTTGCATAATAATTTGTAATGCAGTAGAAATGTAATTCTAAAAGCACAGAAATACGTACGTTTTCAAAAACACGTCCAAACCCTTAAAAACGTCACATGTAAATACAAAGAACACCTGTAACTTCAACATCCACAAAACAGGCACCAATGCGACAGGTCCACATTTTCGAATCCTACAAATTGGGCACCCTGAACTGGCTGCCAGCCAATCGCAGGGCACACACAGACCAACAACCATCCGCTCTCACACTCACACCTCGGGACAATTTAGAGTGTTCCATTAACCTGCCTTGTGTGTTTTTGGAATGTGGGAGGAAACTTGAATACCCGGAGAAAACCCACGCAGGCACGGGGAGAACATGCAAACTCCACACAGGAAGGCCAGAGCTGGAATCGAACCCTGCAACTCTGCACTATGCCGACGTGCTAACCAGTCGACCAGCGGGCTGCTCTGAAAAAAATAATCACATATTAAATCACAGTCACAATATTTAAGGTGGAAAAATGCAATTACATTATTTTTTTAACATCAACCCTGCCCCACTGATGAGTGATGAGGATAAAGAAGAAATGGATATATGATTAATTACACATTTGTTGATTAATAACTAATCGCTGGTGGTGTAGTGGTATACTCGCCTGACTTGTATGCGGGCAGCATGCGATCGGTTCCCACTCTGTGAATGTGTGGATGTGGGCATGAATGGTCGTTTGTCTCTGTATGTGCTCTGCGACTGGCTGGCGACCAGTTCAGGGTGTGGTCTGCCTACTGCCCGAAGTCAGCTGGGATAGGCTCCAGCAACTCCCCGCAACCCTGTTCAGGATAAGCCGTGTTGATGCGACAGGTCCACATTTTCGAATCCTACAAATTGGGCACCCTGAACTGGCTGCCAGCCAATCGCAGGGCACACCCACAACCACCAACCACCC